TGTATGGAACAACACCCAACCAAATGAGCCACGCCGGCCAGGGCCAGTAAGTTTTCATGAACGTCTGTTTCCACGTAATCACCTCCCATTTGGATATAGACTATTTCTAGCCTCCCAGAGAATTTTCTTGTGCCCCTTTCTCTAATTTAATTACCACCCACACATACCAGAAGCAACCCCTAATCTGAGTTCTACTTTAGATTAGTTTTGCCTGAACTAGAACTTCACAGAAATGCAAACAGAATACGTACCCTTGAACAGAATGTCAGACACAATGTTCAGCAAGTTGTGTGTTAATACATTTATTAGCTATTTGTCCCCCCACCCCACCCTTTTTTTAAAAATCCTCACCCGAGGATATTTTTCTGTTGATTTTCAGATATAGTGGGAGGGAGGGTGGGAGAGAAAGAGATACAGAGAGAGAAACACCAATGAGAGCGACACATTGATTTGTTGCCTCCTGCATGACCCTGACCAGGGCTGGGGATTGAACCACGTCTGAGGTACATACCCTTGACCGGAATCGAACACAAAGCTCTTTGGTCCATGGATCAACATTCTAACTGCTGAGCCAAACTGGCCAGTGCTATTTGTCCCCTGTTTAAAATATATATATATATATATATATATATATATATATATATATATTTTTTTTTTTTTGATTGATTTTTTTTTAGAGAAGAAGGGAGAAAGAAGGAGAGAGAAACATCTATCTACTGCCTCCTGCACACCCCGTAGCAGGGATTGAGCCCACAACCCAGATATGTGCCCTAACTGGGAATTGAACCAATGACATGGGACAATCATGCCTAACCAACTGAGCCACACCAGCCAGGGCTATTTGTCTCTTTTTTATTCCAAAGTCCTGTCCCATTGGATGAACACATCAACTGCCTGTTTTTGAGCTGAGTTTATTACGTCAGTTTCTGGGAAGAGCTCTATTTTTGTTCTGATCTTTAATCTTCACAACATTCTCTTGAAAATAAGGACTGATCTTCTCTCCCATTTTATAGGTGAGGAAACTAAGGCCCAGGAGGATTAAGTCAGTTGCCCAAATCAGTCTAGTTAAATGGCCTGAAAGCCATTCACACCAAGGCCTGTCTAACCAACTCACTACACTACCTCTCAGTGAATCTGCACCAAAGTTCTGGGGGAACCATTGAAGTAGACATGAAAAAATGAATCTCTTTGCCAGGAAAGTCAAATCAGATTTCTCTCTCTGTCCAGGCATATTTGAGAACTCAAATACATATGTACATACATAAGTAAACAAGTAAAAAGTAAGTGAAATAAGTTATCATTCAAAAATAACTTTTAGCCCTGGCTGGTTTGGCTCAGCTGTTAGAGCGTCAGACTGTGGTCCAGAGAGACCCGGGTTCGGTTTCCACTAAGGGCACGAACCTCGGTTGCAGTTTGGCCTCGGCCCTGGTTGGGTCATGTGGGTGGCAGCCACTCGATGTGTCCATTTCACATGGATGTTTCTCTCTCTCTCTCTCTCTCTCTCCCTCTCTCTCCTTCCCACTCTATCTGAACAAAAAATGGAAAAATGTCCTCGGGTGAGGAAAAAAATAAAAAATAAAAAAATAACTTTTAGCCCTGGCGGATTTGGCTCAGTGATTGCAGCATCAGCCCAAGAACCAAGGAGTTGCGGGTTTGAGTCCAGTCAAGGGCACGTACCTCAGTTGCAGTTTGGTCCCTGGCCCTGGCTGAGGTCGTGCAGGGGGCAACCAATTAATGTGTCTCTCTCACATCCATGTTTTTTTCTCTCTCTCGCTCTGTCTGAGGATAAATGGGAAAAAAGTATCCTCAGGTGAGGATTTAAAAAATAAGTAAATAGCCAGGCCAGTGTGGCGCAGTGGATTGAGCAATTTCTCAGGGACTGAGAGGTCCCAGTTCAATTCCTGATCAGGGCACATGCCCAGTTTACAGGCTCGATCCCCAGTGGTGGGCGTGCTGATCAATGTTTCTATCTCTCCCTAAAAAATCAATTAAAGCCCTGGCCGTTTTGGCTCAGTGGCTGGAGCGTTGGCCTATGGTCTGGAGAGACCCGGGTTCGGTTCCCGCTAAGGGCATGTACCTCGGTTGCAGTTTGTCCCCGGCCCTGGTTGGGTCGTGCCGGTGGCGACCACTCGATGTGTCCCTTTCACGTCGATGTTTCTCTCTCTCTCTCTCTCTCTCTCTCTCTCTCCCCCTCCCACTCTATCGGAACAAAAAAAGGAAAGATGTCCTCGGGTGAGGATAAAAAAAAAAAAATCAATTAAAAAAATCATTAAAATAAATAAATAACTTTTAGCCCTGGCCAGTTTGGCTCAGCAGTTAGAGCAACTGCCCACAGACCAGAGAGTCTCGGGTTTGATTCCCTGTCAAGGGCACATACCTCAGTTGTGGGTTCATTCCCTGGCCCCAGTCAGGATTGTGCAGGAGGCAGCTAATTGATGTGTCTCTCACATTGATCTCTTTCTCTCTCTCTCTCTCTTTCCCTCCTTCTCACTCTAAGAAAATCAATGAAAAAAAAAGTATCCTCGCACGAGGATTAACAATAACAACAAAAGAAAATAAAAATAACTTTTACAAAGAAAAGCAACTCAAATGTTTAATTGTATTCCACAGATTCCAGAGCAGTGAAAGGTGATCTTTTTGCAATATTCCCCAAAAGTCCTACAAATCTGGGCGGGGGGGAGTGAAGAGATAAACCACAGAACTTACATGCATGTATGCATAACCAATGGACGTAGACAACAATGCTGGGGACGGGGTGGGGTGGAGGGTGGGGATTGGGAGCAGGGTGTCAATGAGGGAAAAAGGAGAAACATCTGTAACAGAAAAAAACTTAATTAAAAAAAAAAAAAGAAGTCCTACAAATGCAGAACACTCCTTGACAGCTGGAATCAGGTTATGGACAATCATAACCCCTCTTACCTTTCCTAAAATCTTATGACTGTAGAAAAGCCTGTTTGCCTCTTGTATAAATATAATACACCCTGGATGGTGGAGTAGTTTCCCGAAGGAAGCCGGAGGAGAGTAATCAAGTATAGCAGTGTCCCATTCTCCAAGAAGGTGGTTTTCAAACCGGTGGGCGTTTAAAGAGAAGATCAAGGGAAAAAGAAACATCTAAAATATAAAAAGACTATATGACACAGCTTGTAAGATCTTTTTTTTTTTTCTGATTGATTTTAGACAGAGAAAGGGAGAGGGAGAACGAGAAACTGATTTTGTTTTTCCACTTATTTATGCATTCATTGGACCTGGATCGCACCCACAACCTTGGTGTATCAGGACAATGCTCTAACCAACTGAGCTACCCGGCCAGGGCCAAGATCTTGATCCTTCCTCTTCAAGGCCCAGAATGAAGAAGGAAGGGCTTCTCTCAGGGACAGGCAGAATCATTAGTATTCACTCTCTCTAGTTCTTTTTGTTTGGGGTTCTCCAAAAAATGGCATAAGTTTCTGGAAATGTGATTTCTGCTTCAAGTATGATGTATGTATAAATTACCTTTGTGCAAAATGAGCTAATGGCCCTGGCCGGTTTGGCTCAGCGGTTGGAGTGTCGGCCTGCGGTACAGAGAGACCCAGGTTCAGTTCCCGCTAAGGGCATGTACCTCGGTTGCAGTTTGTCCCCGGCCCTGGTTGGTTGTGCGGGTGGCAGCCCCTCGATGCGTCCCTTCACATCGATGTTTCTCTCTCTCTCTCTTCCTTTCTCTCCCTCCCGCTCTATCTGAACAAAAAATGGAAAAGTGTCCTCGGGTGAGGATTAAAAAAAAGAGCTAATGGCTATATTTTGTATAAATCATTAAACGATTTTTTTGGTTATAGGTAATGCTCAAAATCAATTGATAAAAGGAAAAGCCTTCTTAATCTTCTTACAAGAATAATAAAACATAAGTAATTTAGCCATCAATCAAAACTTATACTTTACATAGTTTGCCTATAAAACATCTGACTCATGAGGAAAATCCTGCTAGCGCTTTTATTGTTTTTGTCTTATTTCCTTATTTATTCAATATAAAGCATGTTGAGATAAGCCAGATCCGAAATTTTATTGGCCTCATTGTTTTAGTTTATGTAGGAAATCAAAGTTTATATTTTGAGCTTAAAAGATTATTATCAGGTAATTACCAACCAATAAAAGCTGGCTTTGATTCTAGTTTACACATAGCAATACATTCTTAATTAAAGTATAATTTCCAAAATGAAATCAGTCGATATAATTTTAATCTTTCCAAAGTGCAGAAATCATGTATTTTAGGAAATTTCCCAAACACTTTGTCTTTATTTTTATTTAAAACTCCGAGTACTTTTTATTGATTGATTGATTTTGAGAGAGAGAGAGAGAGATTGACTTGCTGTTCCACTTATTTATGTATTCATTGGTTGGTTCTTATATGTGCCCTGACCCAGGGTTGCACTCACAACCTTGGCGTATCAGGACGATGTTCTAACCAGATGAGCTACCCAGCCAGGGCCCAAGTCGTTTTTTTTTTCTAGGAAAAGTTTTCTCTTATTACACCTAAGGCTACTGTTTCTGTTCCATTTGTTTTTACTGCTGGATCTCTGCACTCTGGCCTCTGCATTAATCATTTATCATAATTTTTCTTTCTTTTTCTGCTCAAGTTTTAGTGGTTTTGCAGTGTCGATTTTTGTCATTACTGTTTCCAATACAGGTTTATAATATGCTAAATAATTTTCTTTATTAATATGCATGAAAGTTCTAATATTTTCTTCCCAGATCCCAGTGAATTTGTACATAGAACTAAAAACACCATTATGTCAAAGTCTTACACACTATCGACAAGTCTCACCTTTGGGTGTGTTTTTTGCATCCTCCGCTATACTTTTGGTTCATGAAACCTAATTTGTTGTGCATGTTTCATTTCCTGGGAACTAGACTGTTATGATAGGATTATATTTCTGGTTGTTCAGTTGGCAGGGGACAGACATCGGTAGTGTGGTCAGTTTCTGATCCTGGCATTGAACCTTTCTTCCCCTTTTCTTCTCTCTCAGTGGAAGAAAAATGCGAGAGAAGCGATTTCCAGTGCCATGATGGGCAATGCATCTCCTACAAGTGGGTTTGTGACGGGGTTGCCGAGTGCCAGGACGGCTCTGATGAGTCCCAGGAGACGTGCAGTGAGTCCCCTCTGGGTGTGACATGTATCCCAACCCTTTCTGATGATAGTGGGTGACAGATGAGGTGGATTTCTGCTATTAGACTGATATGTTCAACCATGAATTGAGAGATGGGGAACAAAGATGTTATTAGAAATTCCCTTGAACACGTCTTTTTTTTTTTTTTTTAATTTTTTTTTCTTTATTGATTTTTACAGAGAGAGGAAGGGAGGGGGAGAGAGATAGAAACATCAATGAGAGAGAACACCGATTGGCTGCCTCCTGCATGCCCCCCAGTGGGGATCGGGCCCACAACCTGGGCATGTGCCCTGACTGGGAATCAAACTGGTGACCTCTTGGTGCAGGGTCGACGCTCAACCACTGAGACACACCAGCTGGGCTTGAACAGATCTTTAAACAAACATTTTTGAGGTGAAATTGACAAAAACAAAATTAATCATTTTAAAAGGAACAATCCAGCAGCATTTAGTACATTTACAATGTTATGCAATCACCACCTGCCTCTCATTCCAAAACCTAGCATCTGATTTTTAACAAGCTCAATTACATTTTGCCCCAGAAAGGCAGAATTGGGCTCTTCCTGGCACAGCCAGGACTGGTGAAGCAGATTGGCTTTCCCTTGGAGTTAAGACTCAATCCTGTTTCTCCCACAGTGTCTGTCACCTGCAAGTCGGAGGACTTCAGCTGTGGGGGTCGTGTGAACCGCTGTATTCCTGGGTTCTGGAGATGTGACGGCCAGGTGGACTGTGAGAATGGCTCGGATGAGCAAGGCTGCTGTAAGTGTGGCTTCTCGCTGGCAGCCCACATGCCATGGTATCCATGCGGTCCGACTGGGTTCTGGTCTGCTGTTAGAATTTGCTCCCCAGGCAGTCCTGCCAGAAGTGTACATCAGCTGCTCTTCAATGGGGTCCACCTCCTGGGGGCTCATACCAAGCCCCCTCCCACCCATTGAAACCCACCTTGACTAGAAGGCATTGCAGCAGGTAGTTATGGTGCCCTCTTAGGGTTATCAGCACACTCAGTGAGGTTGTTGATGCTGAGTGTCCGCCACATGGCACGAGCTTCAGTCAGGCAGCCACTGTGACCACCGTCAGCCACCCCAGGAGGCTAAGCACACAGTAGGTACTCACCCACCAAGACTTGCTCATCCACCCTGGCTGGTTTGACTCAGCGAGTAGAGCATGGGTCCATGGACTGGAGGGTCTTGGGTTTGATTCCCAGTCAAGGGCATGTACCTGGGTTGCTTGTATTGTCTGTTTTGTCTCACATTTGTATTTGTTTTCTTGCAGAGCCCATTAGTGATCTAATTTCTAACTGGTATTCATAACCTTACTCCAAATATAATGTTCACCACTTACATATCCCCCGACTTTGCCTAAGAGAAGGTGTGCAGAAGGCAACCGATTGATGTGTCTCTCTCACATCTATACCCCCCACCCCTTTCCACTCTCTCTGAAAAAAAATCAATGGAAAAATATCCTCAGGTGAGAATTAACAACAATAATAAAGACTCACAATCGATGTTCTCTCTCATCGATGTTTCCATCTCTCTCTCTCTCCCTTCCTCTCTCTCTCAAATCTATAAAGGAAAAAAAAAAGACTCACTCATCCAACTAACCACTAAGAAGAGGAAAGCTTCACCAAGCTGAAGCTTCTGCAAAGAAATAGGCCAAAAGTCCTGGAGAGGATTTCACTCTGGAGCTGGGTGCCTGTCTTAGCTCTTTGATTTTTGTGTTATTGTTGTTGTTTTTTCACTTGTATATATATATATTTTTAATTTATTTTTCAAAAATAAAATAACTGCCCTGGCTGGTGTGGCTCAGTTGGTTGAGGGTCATTTCATGCACAAAGAGGTCACCTATTCAATTCCTGGTCAGAGCATGTGCCTGGGATGTGGGTTTGTTTCCCAGTAAGGGGCGTGCAGGAGACAGCTGATAGATGTTTCTCTTTCATCGATATTTCTCTCTCTCTCTCTCTCTCCCTCTCTCCCTCTCCCTCTCTCTAAAAAAAAAATCAGTAAAACATTTTTTAAAGTAAAAAACAAAATAACTGGGAAACAATTGAATAACTAAGATTACATTAAAATTTCAAATTCACAAAATATAAAAATTCTTAAGAGATTTTTTTCCTAAGATTTTTGTTTTATTATTATTTTTTAAAAAATTTTCTTTATTGATTTTTAGAAAGAGAGAGGGAGAGGGAGAGAGAGATAGAAACATCAATGATTGAGCCCTAGCCAGTTTGGCTCAGCGGTTAGAGCTTTGACCTGCGGTCTGGAGAGACCCAGGTTCGGTTCCCACTAAGAGCATGTACCTCGGTTGCAGTTTGTCCCCGGCCCTGGTTGGGTCGTGTGGGTGGCAACCACTCGATGTGTCCCTTTCACATCGATGTTTCTCTCTCTCTCTCTCTTCCCCACTCTATCTGAACAAAATATCGAAAAATGTCCTCGGGTGAGGATAAAAAAAAAAAAGAAAGAAAGAAACATCCATGATAGAGAACATCAATTGGCTGCCTCCTGCATGCCCCCCACTGGGGATCAGGCCCACAACCTGGGCATGTGCCCTGACCAGGAATCGAACCAGCAACCTCTTGGTGCATGGGTCGATGCTCAACCACTGAACCACACTGATTGGGTGATTTCCTAAGGTTTTTAAATTGATTTTTAGAGAGAGGAAGGGAGAGGAAGAGAGAGAGAAACTGATGTGAGAGAGAAGCATCCATCAGCTGCCTCCTGCACGCCCCCTACTGGGAATCAAACCAGCAACCTTTCAATGCACAGGACAATGCCCAACCAACTGGCCACACCAGCCAGGGCCTAAGAGATTAAAAAAAATTTTTTTTGTTTAATATGTTTTTATTGATTTTCAGAGAACGGAAGGAAAAGAGAGAGAGAAATATAGATCGCTTGCCTCCCGCACACACCCCAACCAGGGAACCAGGGACCAAACCTGCAACTTGGGCATGTTCCCTAACCAGTAATCAAACTGGCAACCCTTTGGTCACAAGATGACACTCAACCAACTGAGCCACATGGGCCAGGGCTTAAGAGCTTTTTTTAAAAATGTGTTAACTTACATTTACCTTACAAATACACAACTGCCCTGGCTGGTTTTGCTCAGTGGTTAGAGTGTTGGCCCACGGACCAAAAAGTCGAGGGTTCGATTCCAGTCAAGGGTACATACCTCGGTTGTGGTTCGACCCCCAACCCTGGTTGGGGTCGTGCGGGAGGCAACCAGTTGATGTGTCTCTCTCACATTGATGTTTCTCTCTCTCTCTCTCCCACCCTCCCTCCCTCCTACTCTATCTGAAAAAAATCAATGGAAAAATATCCTTGGGTGAGGACTAAAAAAATAAATACACAACTAACTTTCATTAGTGGTCATCTGATGAAATGACTTCTTGGGGAATATTTAAAAATAAAATGGATAGGTGCTCTTTTCCAGGCATTCTTTTTAATTTTCCTTCCAGTTTCACTGAGATATAATTAACATAAAAGATTGTGAAAGTGTAGGCTCTAGAAGTGCTGGTGGCCGCAGATGCAACTTTGGAGGTGGCCATGGCACTGGGATGATGAACACCCCTCTCGGCTTCGAGTCATTCTTGCTGTTAGAAATTGAGATCACCATTAACAGGGGAACCAAAATACCCAGTGCCTGTGTGTTCACCATCAACGAAGATCATACATAGGAAACATTATTAAATCAGAGCTGTTGAAGGACCCATAGGTACAGTTTGCTGGCTACAAAGTCCCCTACCTTGGGGCACAAAATCATCATCCAGATGCAGACCACACCAGATGGCAGCCCCAAGAGGCCTTCACCAGTGCCTTCACAGACCTCACCAGCAAGCTCTTCCTGCTGGAAGAGTGATTGCAGATAGCCATCAAAGACAAGCAAAAAGGAACTGAAAATACAAAAAAAAAGAAGGGTCCTAGCCAGTTTGGCTCAACGGTTAGAGCGTCGGCCTGTGGTCCAGAGAGACCCGGGTTTGGTTCCCGCTAAGGGCATGTACCTTGGTTGCAGTTTGTCCCCGGCCCTGGTTGGGTCGTGCAGGTGGCAACCACTCGATGTGTCCCTTTCACATCAATGTTTCTCTCTCTCTCTCTCTCTCTCTCCCTCCCTCTTCTCTCTCTCCCTCCCTCTCCCTCCCACTATCTGAACAAAAAAAAGAAAGAAAGAAAAAATATCCTCGGGTGAGGATTAAAAAAAAAAAAGAAGGAACTGAATAGTAGGCTGGAAAGGGTCTTGCTTGGCCAGTTCTCATCCTGCACCGGGCCCTTCTCTAGGCACAAGTGGAAGAGAGCAGCTTGTCCCAGTTGTGGACCTCCTTAGAGATATCCTGGAGAGTCCCTCACCCCCAACACTGATGTGTCTTGTGCACAGATTCTGTATCACTTCCTAATAAAATGTGGCAGGAAAAGACCCAGATGTGAGCTGAAGCAGAGGTGACATCACAGCAAATGTATTGTCAGATTCAGTGGAGGTGGATTACGTGTCTCAAGGACACTCAGGGGCCACATTTCAGAGTGGATTGGCCCAGAGACCCAGATTTCTATCTGCGTGTGGCAGGAACAAACTCATTCTGGACCAACAACGGGGAGCTGGGGGTCTGTGGGGCAGGCGGTCTTGAGTAGAAGGGAACTGCAAACCTGTGAACTTCATGAGTCTCTGCTGTAGAAGCTTTAGCCGCCAGGTCAGTCTGTCTTACTCAATGTAGCAATACCAGATGGGCTCACAAACAGCTTTCCCAGGTTATATAGTAGAGAGTTTAATAAAAATACCCACCGATTAAAACAAACAACAAGCCCTGGCCAGTTTGGCTCAGCGGTTGGAGCGTCGGCCTGCGGTCGGAGAGACCCGGGTTTGGTTCCCGAAAACGGCACGTACCTCGGTTGCGGTTTGTCCCCAGCCCTGGTTGGGTCGTGCGGGTGGCGACCACTCGATGTGTCCCTTTCACATTGATGTTTCTCTCTCTCCCACTCTATCTGAACAAAAAATGGAAAAAATGTCCTCGGGTGAGGATTAAAAACAAAAAACAAACAACAAAACAATGTGAAGGTTTAAAGAGTAAGACTTGAGATGTGATGATTTGATACATGTACATATCTGACTTCTGTAATAGCAGGTTTCTCCTCCATGGACTCAACCACTGCAGACTGAAAATATTGGGGGCGGGGGGATTCCAGAAAACTTGAATTTGCCACGTGCTGAGAACTATCCTGAATTTATGCAAATGAAGTGATGTGTAAGCATAACCTGTTGTGGCCTATATACAAATACAGGTTATAAGCAAATATAGGTTTTATGCAAATACAGTGATACCTCGGTTCTCGAACGCCTCGGTTTTCGACCAAATCGGTATTCGACCAGATTCGAGAAATTTTGTCTCGGAATCCGAACAAATATTTGGAACTCGAACTTCCGAGATGAGCCGAGTTGAGCAGAGTTGAGCCGAATGGCCTTCATTCGGCCCAGCGCGCCTTGCTTGCGTCATCAGTGTGAGTGCAGAGAGAGAGTCACGCTTTGTGGAGTCACGCTTTCCTATTGGGTTTCATTGCTTCGGTTCTCGACCGTCCTCCTGGAACGAATTATGTTCGAGAACCGAGGTATCACTGTACAAATATGTAAGGGACTTGATTGAGCATTCTTAGATTTTGGTACCTGCAGTTTCTGGAAACAATCCCCCTGCCCCCCATACCCAGAGATAATTATATTGTGAAATAATTACTACAGTAGGGTTTCTTACCATCTGGGAGCCTTTTAATAATAACAGCAGCAAACCCTTCATTAGCACTTCCTGTGTGCCAGCCCAACCTGAGCTTTCCTCGCCAGTCCTCATAATAAAGCCCGGAGGCACCGAGGGCACCCAGGATCCAGGTGGGGATTCTGAGGTTCCCAGCCTAAGACCCCTGCCCGCTATCCCTCACCTCTCCAGGGTCCACATTATGCGGTCTGGCGTCTCCCCTCTTAGTGTCCCCATCTGTGGAATGGGCTTGCGTTGGGAGGCAGGGGTTCCAGGCGACCGGTCTTCATCTCCCATCCATCCCCGCAGCCCCCAAGACCTGTTCCCCGGAGGAGTTCAGCTGCCATGACGGGAAGTGCATCGCCCCTGAGTTCGTCTGCGACGCGGACCGGGACTGCCTGGACGGCTCGGACGAGGCCGCCTGCCCGGCGCCCACCTGCGGCCCCGCCCACTTCCAGTGCAACAGCTCCGTCTGCGTCCCCGAGCTGTGGGCCTGCGACGGCGACCCCGACTGCGACGATGGCTCCGATGAGTGGCCGCAGCACTGCGGGGGCCGCAACACGTCCGCCAAGCACGGGGCCCACCCCTGCTCGGCCCTGGAGTTCCTCTGCCGCAGCGGGGAGTGCATCCACCCGAGCTGGCGCTGCGACGGCAGCCCTGACTGCAGGGACAAGTCTGACGAGGAGAACTGCGGTAAGGGCGCTGAGGGCGCCTGCCCGCACCTGTCCCCCTGCTCCCCACGTGGGGGACTAGTGGTGCCTTTAATGTGGTTAAATCATTTGCCTAGTTTTTGAGAGGGGAGTAAACCACAGCTGCAGTATTGTTTTGGTTCAAAAAGAATCCTGGGCTCCAGGTCTAGCTAGCGGCATGGGGCTGTGTGACCCTTGGCCCAGGACTCAACCTCACTGCTCGGTGGTGTCCTCCCCTGTACAATGGAGCAATAGCATTTGCCTTGGCAGGCTGGGATTAGAGTCCATTGCCACCCAAGAGAACTTTCTGTGATGTTGGAGGTGACCCATGTCTGCTGCCCAGGGCAGTAGCCACTAGCCAACGTGGATAGTACGACTGAACAGGATTTTTATTTCATTTTAATTAATTGAAAGGTAAATAGTTACACATGGTTAGTGGCTCCTGTGTTGGAGACAGTGCAGATACCGGCCCTGGCTCTGGCCCTGTGCCAGTGCTGCTTGAACCCACAGGCCGCTGTTTCGAGGCTGGCCTCAATATGGAGTCACTGGAAATCCAGAAGGTATTTTCCTCTTTTCGTGTCATTTTTCACAGAGTTGTAATCGTCCTGTAGATGTAACTAGATTTTTGAAACATCATGTTTCAAAAACAATGCATGACGTTATATATGGTCTGTTCTGAAACTGAACACAAACTCACTGTTCTGAAACTGAACACAAACTCACTTCATCGCCATCACTTGTGAGCAGGCTTCCCCCACTCTTCACAGAGGCACAGAAAGGTCGCACAGTCTTCTGAGAACACATACCTGAGAAAACTAAAAATCCCATTCTCTTATCATTTTAACTGTCATCCAAGTTTATGCTTCGCTAAAGTTCCCTTTGGTTATGTTTTTTTTTTTTTTTTTTCCTTGATGCAAAGATATACAGATGGGTTCCAAATAGGATCATTTCCCTTTTTACATATATCAGCACAGAGCAAATATCCACTTGAACATAACAGAGCTCCCAAAATTTGAATGTATATTTTTAAAGATGGAAAAGGGATCATTCTGCTCACAGATTTTATTATCTCTTCTTACTGACATCCTGAAATCAAATTGTTTTTTGTTTTTTTTATCCTCACCCGAGGACACGTTTTCATTCTTTGTTCAGATAGAGCAGGAGGGAGAGAGAGAGAGAAACATCGATGTGAAAGAGACACATCGAGTGGCTGCCACCCGCACAACCAACCAGGGCCGGGGACAAACTGCAACCGAGGTACATGCCCTTAGCGGGAACTGAACCCAGGTCTCTCTGGACCGCAGGCTGACGCTCTAACCGCTGAGCCAAACCGGCCAGGGTCTGAAATCAAATTTTTTATTTGTGTACATTTTTTATTGTAAAATATAGCCCACAGGAAAGTGCATAAAACATAAACATATAGCTTAATGACAGCATAAAGCAAATCCTGGGTGAGGTCAAGGTCTGGACCATGGCTGGGAGTACCCTAGTCCAGTCACCACGAGCATCCTCCAAGTTTTCATTATAATGTATTTTTTCACATGGCATCACACCATCAACATTTCTCATGTTTGAGTCTTAGTCGTTTGAACAGCTCCATTGTACTCAGTGGTATTGATCTGATTTATCACAATTTTCTTGGCCTACCTCTGTCCAAATGGGGACCTTATCATTGCTTTTCTGCTGAGACTGGCTCGCTGGGTCTGTAGTTTTTTTAATGAATAATGTGATCTAAAAAATGCATATAGCCCGGGCCGGTTTGGCTCAGCGGTTACAGCGTTGGCCTGCGGTCTGGAGAGACCCGGGTTCAGTTCCCACTAAGGGCACGTACCTCGGTTGCAGTTTGTCCCCGGCCCTGGTTGGGTCGTGTGGGTAGCGACCACTCGATGTGTCCCTTTCACATCGATGTTTCTCTCTCTCTCTCTCTCTCTCTCTCTCTCCCCCTCCCACTCTATCTGAACAAAATATCGAAAAATGTCCTCGGGTGAGGATAAAAAAAAATAAAATAAAAAAATAAAAAATAAAAAATGCATATAAAGCAAAACGGGAGAGAATTCTAGGAAAACCTTAATTGTGGTGGGATATTTGGGTTCAGGGTGCTTTTCTCTCCTTTCTAATTTTCCAAACTTTGCTTTGTTACTTTAGTGATAATTTTTCATGATTCTTCTAAATTAACGGAAAGAGTACTTATTTCCATAAAAGAAAGAAAATCTTCTAAAATCTACATTGGGCCCAGCCGGTGTGGCTCAGTAGTTGAGCATTGACCCATGCACCAAGAGCTCGCCGGTTCAATTCCCAATCAGGACACATGCCTAGGTTGTGGGCCCGATCCCCAATGGGGGGCATGCAGGAGGTGGCCAATTGATGTTCTCTCTCACCGATGTTTCTATCTCTCTCTCCTTCTCCCTTGCTCTCTCTCTAAAATCAATAAAGAAAAAAAATTTTTTAAAATAAATAAATAGCCCTGGCAGGTTTTGTTCAGCGGTTAGAGCGTCAGCCTGCGGTCCAGAGACACCCGGGTTCAGTTCCCGCTAAGGGCATGTACCTCGGTTGCAGTTTGTCCCCGGCCCTGGTTGGTCATGCGGGTGGCAGCCACTCGATGTGTCCCTTTCACATCAATGTTTCTCTCTCTCTCTCTCCCTCCCACTCTATCTGAACAAAATATGGAAAAATGTCCTCAGGTGAGGATAAAAAAAAAAAAAAAAATTAAAAAAAATAAAATAAAATCTAAAAGATCTCTTGTCCTTTGAGACTACATGGAGGGACCTGGAAAGTATCATCCTGAGTGAAACAAGCCAAGCAGAGAAAGACAAATTTCATATGATCTCACTGATTTCTGGAATATAATGAACATAACAGTTTGAGGACAATCCCCTAAGGAGTGGGGAGCTGAGAGAGGGATGAACAACAGAATTTATATGCATATAGGCATGAACAGTGGACATGGACAACAATCGGGGGAAGGGGCGGGGAGGGAAGGGGGAGGGGGGAACCACTGGGGGAAAAAAGGAGAATCATTTGTAACAAAAATTATTCAATAAAAAAAAAAAATAAAAATAAAATAAAATAAAATAAAATCTATATTGGTTACATTTGAGAATACAAAAACAGATGTACCTGGGGAGTTTTCACCCATAGTGGGAAAGAAGACCACCTCTTTCCTCTTTCTCCTCCTCTAAGAAGCAGATAAAATGGATGAGCCACTGTCTTCTACTGGTAGAGGAGGCTGGGTGTGTTTTTTCATGTCTAAAGCTCCTCCATCTACACGCTGTCCCCAAGGCCCAGGGCAGCCGACTCCTGTTAGGCTGTCAGAAAATTGCTTCTTCAAAGGTGGAGGTTCTTCCATCTTTGCCTCTCCTTGAGAAAAAATCAACACGTGCTCTGTCTTTCCCAGCTGTGGCCACATGCCGGCCTGACGAGTTCCAGTGCTTGGATGGGACCTGCATCCACGGCAGCCAGCAGTGTGACAAGCGGCATGACTGCAAGGACATGAGTGATGAGCTTGGCTGTATCAATGGTGAGCTCTGTGCCTTGAGAACCCTAGGCCGTTGGCGGGGGTGGGGGTGGGAGGTGGTACGGGGGTAAAAGCAGAGTGGATCCCAGATGAGGGCAGAGGTTCCCAGGCCAGCTCTACATCAGCTGTGTGTTTTTGGACAAATTACTTGACCCCTCTGATCTGAAAAAAATGTGCATAATGAAAGCACCTACTTTAGGACTGTGAGATTTAATGAGGTCCAAGTATACAAAGACCATATCTTTGAGCTCAGAGTTACATGTGAAATATAATTCCATGTAAAAGACTTTCCTGAATTAACAACACAGCAATTCCACTCCTGGGAATGACCCCAGGGGGAACTTACATCCATGTACTAGGAGCTGGACTCTGGAATGTGCAGAACAGCACCATGGTAATAGCAAAACTCTGGAAGCAGACCCAGTTTAAACCCTGGCCAATTTGGCTCAGCAGTTAGAGCATCAGCCTGTGGACTGAAGGGTCTGGGGTTTGATTCCCGGGGGTTTGATTCTTGGCCCCAGTTGGGGTTGTGCGGTATCAATGTTTCTCTCTCTCCACCTCCCTCCCTTCCACTCTGTCTAAAAATCAATGGAAAAATATCTTCAGGTCAGGATTAACAACAACAAAAAAATAATTTAAATTTTATTATTTTGATTTTTTTTTGTTAATCCTCACTTGAGGATATTTTTTCCATTGATCTTTAGAGAGAGTGGAAGGGAGGGAGGGAGAGGGGGAGAGGGAGATATGAAAGAAACACATTAATCGGTTGCTTCCTGCACACGCACTGATGGGCTGGGGATTGAACCTGCAACCCAGGTATGTGCCTTTGACCAAGAATCAAACCTGTGACCCTTCAGTGCATAGGCCAATGTTCTAACCACTGTGCAACACCACAGCCAGAGCAATTAAAACCTTTTAATTATAGTAAAATACACATAAGGATACTGCTTTTTTTTTCAAATAAAATTTTTATTTTTAATTTTATTTATTTGTTTTTTTTAATCCTCACCTGAGGATATTTCCCCATTTATCTTTAGATAGAGTGGGGGGGGGGGCATTGATGTGAGAGAAACACATCGATTGGTTGCCTCCAGCACGATCCCAACCAGGGCAAGGGACCCAACCGCAACCAAGATATGTGCCCTTGATTGGAACTGAACCCGAGACTCTTTGGTCCATGGGCCAATACTCTAACCGCTGAGCCAAACCAGCCAGGACTGATTGCTTTTTAGAGGGAGAGAGAAAGAGAGACAGCTAAACATCAGTTTTTTGTTTCACTTATTTATGCATTCATTGGTTAGTTCTCTTTTCTTTATTGATTTTAGAGAGAGAATAAGGGGAGAAGGAGAGAGAGATAAAACATCGATGAGAGAGAACATCAGTTGGCCGCCTCCTGCATGCCCCCCTTTGGGGATTGGGCCCACAACCTGGGCATGTGTCCTGACCAGGAATCAAACTGGTGACCTCTTAGTTCATGGGTCGATGCTCAACCACTGAGCCACACTGGCCGGACCATTTGTTAATTCTTGTATGTGCCCTGACCAGGGACTGACTGATGCTCTAACCAACTGAGCTATCCTGCCAAAGCAAGGATACTGCTTTTTAAAACTTTATTGCAGTATTTAGAGTCTGGAACAATTTAATGAACAAAAAGTTAAATTCTGATAATGCACTATCTTTTTTTTTATTGAGGTAAATACATACAACATAAAATTTATTGTCTTAACCATTTTTAAGTGTCTAGTTCTGTGGCATTCAGCACATTCACACTGTTGAGCAGTCATCACCACCATCCATATCCAGAACTTAGTCATCTTCCCAAACTGAAACTCTGCCCCTAGTCAACACTAACTCCCCATTTCCTTTCCCCCAGTCCCTGGCACCCACCATTCTACTTTCTGTTTGTATGAATTTGACTCCTCTAGAATGTAAGTGAAATCACATAGTGTTCGTCCTTTTGTGTCTGGCTTATTTCATGAGCATAATGCCCTCCAGATTCATCCACATTGTAGTATGTGTCAGAATTGCCCTTCTTTTTAAGACTGAGTAATATTTCATTGAAAGGACCATAGTATGTTTATCCAGTCATCAGCTGATGGAAACTTGGGTTACTTCCATCTTTGGCTGTTGTGAATAATCGCCATTATGATCACAGGTGTATGAAAATAATATTAAAACGGTGATGATATTCACACAGTGGAATATCAATCATACAGCTCAGAAAATGAGGCGTCAGCCCTCAGGCTGCTGGTGAAACTCATAATTTTACTTGATCTTAGCCTAAAGGCCGAGAAGCGATTGAACCTGATAACTTCAGGGCTGAGAGCAAGAAGCACGTTGCAGGAGATGATAGGATACAGTTATTTTACGAGACTCAAAAAGAAGCAAAATTCCATAATATATTGTTCATTCTTACATGTTTGATAGAACTGTTAATGAAAAAAATAAGAAAATGGGCCTGGCTGGTGTGGCTCAGTGGTTCAGCATCGACCCATGCACCAAGAGGTTGCCGGTTCGATTCCTGGTCAGGGCACATGCCCAGGTTGTGGGCCCAATTTCCAGTGGGGGGCATGCAGGAGGCAGCCAATTGATGTTCACTCTCACATAGATGTTTCTATCTCTCTCTCTAAAAAAGAAAAATCAATAAAAAAACATATTTAAAAAGTACTAAATAGGGTTTTGCAGCTCAGAAGCACCTGACCCTCTTCTTTGCTCTCACAGTGACTCTGTGTGAGGGCCCCAACAAGTTCAAGTGCCACAGTGGTGAATGCATCACCTTGGACAAAGTGTGCAACTCGGTTCGGGACTGCAGGGACTGGTCGGATGAGCCCCTCAAGGAGTGTGGTGAGCCCTGGGGTTGGGGCAGCTCTTGGAGCTCGTGGGGAGCTGGAAGAGGGACCTAGCCATGGGCACTGTGGGGCTGCAAGGCTCCAGCTCACCCATTCCCCCAGGTGCTTTGGCTCTGGGACAAGACAGATGCAGGGGATGTGGGGATAAGTGGCTTTGCTTCCAAGTCTCAGTTTTCACATCTGTAGGATGAGACCGTAGTTGCTCACATAGCCTCGGGCTGCTGGAGATTGGCCAATGAGATGCTTATAAAATTTCGGTAATGTTCTGTGACTCATAACTGCGTAAATATTTGGACTTTTCCGTTCATACGGTCTCTTTTGCAGCCATTCAACTAGGCCATCGTAGCAGGAAAGCAGCCATATGAATGCATTCGTCTGCACATGAATGTATGTGGCTAAGCTCCAGGAAAACTTTATTATGGACTCTGAAATGTGAATTTCATAGAACTTTTATGTGGTGTGAAATATTTTTCTTTTGATTCTTTTTCTTATTTATTATTATTTTTTTAAATTTTGAGAGTGCATTTATTCAAGCTGGGGACAGTGAAACAAGTAAGAATTTGGGATAGAAGAAGCAACAGGAGAGGGCCTAGGTGGGTTGCTTTGGCTCACTGGGAAGTCAGAGAAAAGGGTCCTAGAGGACAGGTTCGGAAGGTTTGCCTGGGACAAGCTGCCACAGACCATTGCATTCCTGTGGGGGGAGAAGGAGAAGGAGAAGGCGTGGATGTGCTTCGGGTAGGGAGAACTTGCTGATCCTTATTTTTCTTTTTAATTATTTAAATACTAAAAACCTTTCTTAGCCCTGCTGGTGTGGCTCAGTTGATTGAGCATCGCCCATGCACTGGTTCAATTCCTGGTCAGGGCACGTGCCTGGGTTTCAGGCTTGATCTCCAGTAGGGGACATGCAGGAGGCAGCCGATCAATGTTTCTCTCTCACTGATTTTTCTGTCTCTCTCTTTCTCTCACTTCCTCTGTCTCTAAAAAAATCAATGAAAAAAAAAAACACATTCTTAGCTCTTGGGCTGTTTACGAACAAGTAGTAGGTTGGCTTTGGCCTATGCCTGGTATAGAGAGCTGGAGTATGGATTCTGGAACCAAACACCCTGGGTTTGAGCCCAGCAGTGTGGTATTGGGCAAGTCATTTAACTTGGACATGCCTCATTTTCTCCAGCTATCTGTAGGATTGTTGGGAGGATTAAATGAGTTAATATACAGGGGTGGACAAAAGTAGGTTTACAGTTGTGAGTACGTGAAACACAAGAGTTTATTCTCATATTATTTATTAATTATTGTATTATTTTCCATACAAATAACTATGAGATTATTTTTGCCCACTCATGTATGTAACTGTAGTATGTAGTTTTCCGTCTTCATCATTAAAATTTTTTTTAAATTGTGGTTGAAGAAAGTAACAAGATTTATTATAACCATTTTTAAGTGTCCAGCTCAGTGGCACTGAGCACATTCACACTGTTGTACAACCATTACCACCACCCAGCTCCGGACTTTCTCATCCTCCCGGTCTGAAACTCTGTTCCCATTAAACACGGACTCCCCTTTCCCCCACCATGGCACCCATCATTCTACTCTTTGTCTCTGTGAATTTGACTCCTCTAAGGACTTCATATAGGTGGGTCATATAGTATTTGTCCTTTTGTGACTGGCTTATTTCACTCAGCAGAATGTCCTCCAGGTTCAGCTATGATGTTGCATGTGACAATGGTTCCTTTACGTCCTCTTAGGGGTCATGGTACTTCACTGGCCTCACATTCATTGTGTCCATTGCAATAAAGATAGTGAAACAGAGAGGATGGCTGGGAAGGGTGGCTGGAGGCCTGAGCATGGCCGTCTGCGCCCCGCCCGTTGCAGGGACCAACGAATGCCTGGACAACAAGGGTGGCTGCTCCCATGTCTGCAAGGATCTCAAGATTGGCTACGAGTGCTTGTGTCCCGAGGGCTTCCGGCTGGCGGACCAGCTAAGATGTGAAGGTGATTCCTAAGCTGGGTGGGCTCCAGGCCTCCTTGGCCCTCTCCTCTGATATGGTGGCCAAACCCTCTGTGCCTTGGTTTCCCCATCTGTCCCCACTCACAAGTGGGCAGTCCCCACTCACAAAGCTGTTAAGAGGATTTAACAAGATGCCACAGACACGTGGAGCCTAGCAAAGGCTTGGTTCTTGCCTTTTGGGATTAATAATGTAAAAAGAGTCCTGGCTGGGTAGCTGTTTGTTAGAGCATCATCCCCACACAGCATATGCCCAGTTTGTGGGTTCAGTCTCCAGTCAGGCCATATACGAGAATCAACCAGTGAATGCATGAATAACTGGAACAACAAATTGATGTCTCTGTCTGTCTCAAATCAATAAATTAAAAACATTTAAAATAATAATAATAAAAGAAATCTAGGCTGACTCAATTTTGTCCTGTTGGCTTTAACCCAGAGGCGAGTGGTGAGGTCAGGGTCATTGTTGGAGATGATTCTTAGCTGTTTTTATGATTTTATTTCTGAACTTCATCGTTCCTGAGATGCCAGCCCTAGAGATCTTTCCCAGAGGAGATGGCTGTCCCCCATTTGCCATTGTGGGGCACAGCTGTGGGTTGGAGCCTATCGCTCTACTGCGGCCTGTGTAGAAGATGCCCCAAACCTCTTTCTCTGTCCTGACTCGTAGATATTGACGAGTGTCAGGACCCCGATGCCTGCAGCCAGCTCTGTGTGAACCTCGAGGGCAGCTACAAGTGTGAATGTGAGGAGGGCTTCCAGCTGGACCCCTTCACCAAGGCCTGCAAGGCCGTGGGTGAGTGTGTGGAGGCAGCGGGAGGGCCCCAACCTGGTGCTTTGAAAGCAAACTAGTGGGGAATTTCATCATCTGAACTTTGCATCATCTGAACTTCTGTGGACAGGGTGTTGGCACCCAAGACCTCTGGCAGATAAAGGGGCACATGCAGTTAGTAATCGGGCTTGTTACAAGCCTACCCTCATGTGTCTGGCTTCTCAGCAGACACAGGTCAACCCTGGTTTGCAGCCCCCAGGCCCTGCCGGGGATTTCAGGGGGGCAAGAGGTAGAAAGCCACAGCCCCAAACATCCTGCACATCCTCCAGCTCTTCCTACTAGCTAAAGGTACTTGCACCCATAAAAACGCAAATGCATGAAAGAGACCAAAATACAATAGCTCACAATGAAACAGAACAGTAGAAATAGTTGAGTTTTTCTCCTACCTGAACTTTGGGTTAGAACTGCAAGCGTGCACTGATTCTTAGAATCACCTAAATCATGGGGTCCCCTGTTTTTGGAGGCATAATTGTTCTGGCAGATTCATCACCAGGGAGGTTGCCCAGACATTCTATTTTGCATCATGTTCTGCTAATACAGTGTGATTCCAGCAAAGGTCAATTTTGCAGAAATATTTCAGAGCTTCTTGTTTCCCCAAGAGTTTCTTAGGCTGTAATTCCTTCTCCTCTTTAAACAGCCTCCTCTCCTCCCTCTGTCATAGTCCAGTGCATGTCTGGTTCTGGAGAAAATTGGGACCTGAATTCATGAAATCCTCCAGGATTTGAGATTTTACTTTCATTTCAGTCTATAGGGGTCAGTATCTGTACAGATGCCACCCCAGGGCAGGGTTTGGCATAAGGGGAAGAGATATTCTGCGTGAGGTCAGTTGTAGAAGTGATCAGTTTGTTGGTGCACATTGGTGCCATGGTTACAGCAGCCCCCAGAGTCAGAGAGACCCAGGTTCAAATCCTGGCTGTGTCACTCACTAGCTGTGTGACCTTGGGCAGGTCACTTTTCTTCTCTGGGCCTCAATCCCTTTATCTATTAAAAAAAGGTTGACGATAGCACCTGACCTGTAGGAGTATGAGGATCAACGAGGGAAAACTTAGTAGGAAAAGCACTAAGAAGAATTCCCTTGCTTGGACAGTGTGGTTCAGTGGATTGAGCATAAGGGGTTATGCACCACGAGGTCACCAGTTCGATTCCTGGTCAGGGAACATGACCAGGTTGTGGGCCAAATCCCCAGTGTGGGGCATACAGGAGGCGGCCAATCGATGTTCTCTCTCATCGATGTTTCTATCTCTCTCTCTCCCTTTCTCTCTCTCTAAAATCAATAAAGAAAAAAAAATTTTTTTAATATATTAAAAAAAAAGAACTCTAAGGAATCATTCTGTACACATGAACTGTTATCATTTCTTCATCTTTCTATTCTAAAATGTAAAATGCTGGGGCCTAGGTGTTTTAACATGTAGCTTTTATTATTATATACCTGTAGTGAGGCCAACAGATGAGGAGACAGCTGCCATTGATAAGATAGTTTGTTGCCAGGCTGGTGTGGCTCAGTGGTTGAGCCTCATCCCACGCACAAAGAGGTCACCAGTTCGATTCCCCGTCAGGGCTCGATACCCAGTGCGGGGTGTGCAGGAGGCAGCCAATCGCTGTTTCTATCTCTCTCTCCCTTTCCCTTCCTCTCTCTGAAATCAATAAAAACATATTTTTAAAAACATAGTTTATTACTCACAGATCCTAGAGGAGGGGACACAGCACACCACGAAGGGCTCCCAGGATAGCACCCAGGTTGGTCAGGAAGCAGAGGGAGCGGCCAAAAGGTGGGCAAGAGCCTTTGTTGTGGTTTCCTCGAGAAGGAACAGGTGAGGCAGGGTAAACAGGCCTAGGATTGGCGAGTTTGAATAATTTCAGTGGGCTCTGGGGTGTAGGGACTGTCCTGGTTGTCTGGTTCCTGGTCCTGGTGTGACCAGGGCAAGGGTATAGTGGCCTGGAGTGTGAGGAGGTGAAGGAGGTGGTGAGCGCCGGCTGGTTAGTTTGCATTTGAGGCGAGTGGATAACTATGCCTAGGGACCCGCTGGACCTGGGAGAGGCCCCCTCTGAGGTATGCAGACCCCAGAGTCAGAGCCTCGGAACCGTACAGTTCATGCACCAGGGAGGCGCTGTTCTCCCCATGTTCTGACGTCTCCTCTGGTTCAGCCAGACCACACAGGGTGACAAATGGCTCAAGGGTCCCTTCTGCTCTCCTGAGCGCCCTCCGTGGCTCCACAGGCACCAGCGCCTACCTCTTTTTCACCAACCGCCACGAGGTAAGGAAGATGACGCTGGACCGAAGAGAATATACCAGCCTCATCCCAAACCTGAAGAACGTGGTTGCCCTGGACATGGAAGTGGCCAGCAACAGAGTCTACTGGTCCGATTTGTCCCTCAGGAAGATCTACAGGTGAGCCTCAGCCCGCGCCCAGCCCAACCCCGGCTGAGATCATGGCCTCTGGCATTGGCTCCTCGTCTTTCTTCCTCCTCAGCACCCAGATCAACAGAGTGCCCAGCTTCTCCTACGACACCATCATCGGCGAGGACCTCCAGGCCCCTGACGGGCTGGCGGTGGACTGGATCCACAGCAACCTTTACTGGACTGACTCCATCCTGGGCACCGTCTCTGTGGCTGACACCAAGGGCGTGAAGAGAAAGACCCTCTTTAAGGAGAAAGGCTCCAAGCCGAGGGCCATTGTGGTGGATCCTGTTCATGGGTGGGTATTCCCAAAGCTGAGGGGACCAGAGAGAATGAAGACCCAGCTAGGACTCGTGCGGGGGTGGGGTTGTGCTTGAAGTAGACTGGTCTAGGTGGAGGCTGGTGTTGGGGGCCTTCCCCACACGCACTGGGGCCCTCTGGTGGCTGCCGTGTCGCCTGAGATGGGAGCAGACTGAACAGTCCTGCCCTGTGGAGTAGAATCCCAAACCAGAAATTAAAATACTGATTTAAATTGGTATTAGAAATTTGTACTTACAGAAATTAAAAAATAAAATTTGGAATTAGTCTTTTGTGCCAGAATAGGATTGGAGAAAGTAAAAATACACAAGTCCAATGTTAATCAATGGACAGGTCTTTCGAGGACGAGGACGTGACAGGGAGTGAAGGTCACCGCCCTGTGGTGGCCCCAGGCAGATGTCCTCAGGGGCTTGTGGCTGACACAGCAACTCTAGGGCTCACAGCACGTCACCTCACTGTGGGATTTCACAATTCCAGAGGGGCCTCGACAACCCCAGGCTGTGTGAAATGAGAGGACAAGGGAGCTTTGGCTGTGAATAGACCCTGTGGTGCAGACGGGTCGGGCAGGCCTGGGTCCCCCAGATAGACCACGATTTATTTAACTGCTATTCAGCACGTGAAAATTTAGAATTTTATCCCTCTTTTTTATCTTACCACTCATGAAGTAGCAGTTTTATTGCAGTGGTCTGGAACTAAACCTTTAATACCTCTGATAAATACACACACACACACACACACACACACACATACACACATACACTCACACATATACACACACACATATATTTGAAAAGACAAAAAATAAAAATGAAAAAAAATTTAGATATGTTTTTATCGGTCATAGAAGAAGGTAGAGGGATGGGGGTGGGGGGGAGAGAGAGAGAGAGAGGGAGGGAGAGAAGGAGAGAGAGAGAGGGAGAGGGAGGGAGGGAGGGAGAGAGAGGGAGAGAGAGAGAGAGAGGGAGAGACATTGATGAACCCTGGCTGGTTTGGCTCAGCGGTTAGAGTGTCGGCCTGAGGTTTAGAGAGACCGGGTTCGGTTCCCACTAAGGGCACGTACCTCGGCTGCAGTTTTCCCCCGGCCCTGGTTGGGTCGTGTGGGAGGCAGCCACTTGATGCATACCTTTCACAGTGATGTTTCTCTCTCTCTCTCTTCCTCCCACTCTATCTGAACAAAAAATGGAAAAATGTCCTCAGGTGAGGATAAAAAGAAACATTGATGAAAGAGAAACACTGATTGGCTGCCTCCTGCATGCCCCCCACTGGGGATCAAGCCCACAACCTGGGCATGTGACCTGACTGGGAATTGAACTGGTGACCTCTTGGTCCATGAGACAACGCTCAACCACTGAGCCACATTGGCCAGGCAAAAAATAGAAAACACTGTAAAACCCCAGAAAGTGGTGTTTAGGGTGCAGATTCCTGGGCCCCCGTCCTGACACTGGAATCAAAACCTCCCTTTGTTCTTGAAAGTTCCCAAATCCTGCCAGGTCTTGCCAAGAGGCAGGCCCTGGGGCAGGGTGGGCAAGGCTGGGAGCAGAAGGGGCCAATCTGGGGTCCCCAAGCCTGTTTAAAGCGCTGCCCTGGCTGCCTCAGGGGGCTGGAGCCGCCCCCACCGACGTCTGAATATCCGTTCTCACTGCTCTCCCTCCAGCTTCATGTACTGGACGGACTGGGGGACTCCTGCCAGGATCAAGAAAGGGGGCCTGAACGGTGTGGACATTCACTCACTGGTGACAGAGGACATCCAGTGGCCCAATGGCATCACCTTGGGTATGTTCCAGGGATTATGGTCCCCAATAGTTAAGCACAGTTGATAGAAGTGTCCAGGCCACCCCTGAACACTATCATGCAGCTTTCCCAGGTTTTTATAACCTGCACCCAGACCCACCACCCAACCCCACACCGCACCCCCGCCCCAGCTTTTGGTTCAGGCCCACACATGGCAGGAGTATGATCGGAGCTGCTTTTCTGGGCACATCTCTGCTGTGTCCTTCCTGCAGCAGAGTGGCCAGGCCCAAAGACCCCTCTGGCATCAGCATGTGACCTCTCCTTGTCCACCTGTGGGTTCTAGATCTTTCCAGTGGACGCCTCTACTGGGTCGACTCCAAGCTCCACTCCATCTCCAGCATCGATGTCAACGGGGGGAACCGGAAGACGATTTTGGAGGACAAGAAAAAGCTGGCACACCCTTTCTCCTTGGCTATCTTTGAGGTAGGGGCTGGAGCGCACGGCTGCTCCTTTAGGGCTTGAGGAAATTCGTGGCCAAGTGCTGTTTACTGAGCACCACTCATGTATGAGGCATGAGGGCTCATACAAACATGTCAACAAACATTGTCTGGTTCATTCGAGCCAAGACTAACTCAGAAAACTGCCTATGACTATGAAGAGATCTTAGACCTCTTAAACAGTCATTTCTGTTTTATTCTCAATAAAGGAATCTTGAGCCCTGTTGGTGTGGCTCAGTGGATTGAGCATCGTCCCATGGACTGAGAGGTCCTGGTTCGATTCCTGGTCAGGGCACATGCCTGGGTTGCGGGCTTGATCCCCAGTAGGGGGCGTGCAGGAGGCAGCCGATCGGTTTTTCACATCGATGTTTCTATCCCTCTCTCTATATAAAATCAATAAAAACATATTTTTTAAAAAAGAATCTTGAAAGGTCTAAAGCAGCGGTTCTCAAGCCATCTTGCCATCCAGGGGACATTTGGAACTGTCTGAAGATTTTTTTAGTTATCGCAACTAGTGGGTGAAGGCCAGGGATGCTGCTAAACAGCCTACAGGAGGGAGCCACCACAAAGGATTATCCAGACCCAAATAGCACCCCAGTGAGGGAATTCTGCTTTATTTTTATTTTATTTTTTTAAAGGTCTTTTTTATTTTTATTTTATTTTTTTATCCTCACCCGAGGACACCTTTCCATTTTTTGTTCAGATAGAGTGGGAGGTAGAGAGAGGAAGAGAGAGAGAGAGAAACATCGACGTGAAAGGAACACATCGAGTGGCTGCCACCCGCATGGCCAACCAGGGCCGGGGACAAACTGCAACTGAGGTACGTGCCCTTAGTGGGAAGCAAACCCGGGACTCTCTGGCCCACGGGCCAACGCTCTAACCGCTGAGCCAAACTGGCCAGGGCAGGAATTCTGCTTTAAAGAAAGGTTGTTATGTTGGTTCACCCATGTTCAAGCAGCCTGATTCATAATAGCCAAGAGGTGCAAGAACCCAGCTGTCGGTCAGGGACGACTGGATACATGGCCCTGGCTGGTTTGGCTGAACAGTTAGGCTGTCGGCCTGCGGTCCAGAGAAACTAGGTTTGGTTCCCGCTAAGGGCACGTACCTTGGTTGCAGTTTGTTCCTGCCCTGGTTGGGGTCGTGTGGGTGGCGGCCATTCAATGTGTCTCTCTCACATCAATGTTTCTCTCTCTCTCTCTCCCTCCCTCTCTCCCTCCCGCTCTGTCTGAACATAAGTGCAAAAATGTCCTCGGGTGAGGATTCAAAAAAAAAGAAAGGAATGATGCTACCACCTGAAACTGCTTCTTCCCAGAGAACGCCAGAGATTGGGGGAGGGGACGGCGGCGGTCTGTCCCATCCCAGTGGTTAATGGGATCTGTCATCTTTCTTCATGCCCATGTAGGATAAAGTATTCTGGACGGACATCATCAACGAAGCCATTTTCAGTGCCAACCGCCTCACAGGGTCCGACATTAATTTGATGGCAGAAAACCTGTTGTCCCCGGAGGACATTGTCCTTTTCCACAACCTCACACAGCCAAGAGGTAAAGATAGGGTGGTCCCCCCCTTCCAAGATGGAGCTCTGGAATTTTCTGACCCTGATTCCCCGCCTTTTCCACCTCAGGGGTGAACTGGTGTGAGAAGACTATCCTCCCTAATGGTGGCTGCCAGTACCTGTGTCTCCCGGCCCCGCAGATCAATCTCCACTCACCCAAGTTCACCTGCGCCTGCCCCGATGGCATGCTGCTGGCCAAGGACGGCAGGAGCTGCCTCGCAGGTAGGGGACTCAGCCCTGAGCCTCGCTTTGCCCATCTATCAAATGAGAGAGTGAGGTCCCAGGAGGCTGTTGTAAGGCCTCAGCTGGGATAACCAGTCTGCCTTCTTGAATGTTGGGGATATCAACACCTTGCGGGGCACTTAGGTAGCCTCAGTTTACCTTTGAAGTTCAGTCCACTCTTCCTGGCTCCCTTGGGAGGTGACTGATTTTAGACACTACTATCAAGTGAGGAACAGCCCATTTCTTTCTTCAAAATTTTTTTATTGATTTTAGAGAGAGGAAGGGAGAGAGAAAGAAAAACATCATTCAGCTGCCTCCTGACCTGGAGTCAAACCAGGCAGCTTGCGCTAAACTGCCCTTTTCAATTCCTTTTTATTTTTATTTTTTTATGTTGCTAAAACAATTGATGATTTTACTTCAAATATTAGTGTTTTTCTGACGTCTTTTGGTACGTCCACCTTGCATCCTTTAATAGTCCAGTATTAGGAAGTTTACTCATCAGCTTAATATACTTCAATTTTCCCCAAAGTTCTTATGTTGGGGTGTTTTGAGGATGGGGTTGGGGGGAGTCTTTTTTATATTTAGGAATTTAGAAAAACACTGGACTTGCCCTGGCCGGTTTGGCTCAGCGGTTGGAGTGTCGGCCTGTGGTCCTGAGAGACCTGGGTTCGGTTCCCGCTAAGGGCAGGTACCTCATTTGCAGTTTGTCCCTGGTTGGTCGTGTGGGTGGTCGTGTGGGTTGGTCGTGTGGGTGGCAGCCACTCGATGTGTCCCTTTCACGTGGATGTTTTTCTCTCTCTCTCTCTTCCTCTCTCTCCTCCTACTCTATCTAAACAAAAAAAAAAAACAAATAAAAAAATGTCCCCGGGTGATCATTAAAAAAAGGAAAAAGAAAAACACTGGACTTTACTATGTGATTCTGAGCCTTCATTTCAAAAACAAAACAAATCACCTGTTGTTTCTTTTTGCCTCTGCCATAACTGTTGTTCCTTCATCTCAGTCCGGAGTCCTGTTTCTTACTCCATTTAAGCGCATCCTTTTGACTCCCGTGAAACGATTTTGCTGTTGTGCAGTTGGTTGGTTGTTTCATTTTATTTATCTTCTTCTGCATATCTTGGTTATTTTTTATTGTCTTACATTTTAAAATGATAAAACTTTCACAGAAAAATTGGAGTACATTGCCCCGGGTTGTTGTTTCTAGTCCTTGAGCAGATCTGTGTTCCCGGTGTGTAGGAGGAAGCGGTCGGCGCGCCCCTGGCGGCACCACAAGCTCTTCCCCAGGTGAGAGCTTGTGCTCAGTGCTGGCAGCTTCTACCCGGAGCCCCTACGACGCAGGTGCCCCTGAGGACGGCGCTGGCCTCTGTTCTTAAGGAACTACTTGCTTGAAATGGAAGACGTAGTGGCCTTAAATCCCAGGAGAGTAAGGTTTTGTTATTCCATGTGAGCTCTTCCGGCGTTGAGCAGGCCGCTGCGAGCGCTCACAGCTGTTCCTTCTTGTCCATGCCAAGCGGTGTGGACGGGACCACCACCTTCCTCTCCGTCTTCCTTTTCCTTCTTTCTGCAGAGTTGAGGTCATTCATCTTGTTTTCATACTATTGTCCTTCTTCATTATATTCATTGTTTTCCCATATATCCAGAAAGCTTAAAAGAAAAAGATCTTCAGATTAGATTTAAGGGTTGTGCAGGGTACACACCTCAAGGTCTCTCTCGAGGCTGCAGTCACTCGAAGGTTTGACTGGGGCTGGAATATCTGCTTCCAAGACTGCTCACCCAGACAACTGTTGGTAGCAGAACTCAGTTTCCTGCTGGTTGTTGGCAGAAGTTCTCACTTTTCCACTGTGTGGGCCTATCAACAGGGCTGCTTGAGTGATTCATACAGCTATTCCTAACGACATGGTGCTATGTATCAAATGTTGTGATTCCCTCCTCCTCCCCAAAGTTAATATGTTGAGGCCTGGCCGGGTGGCTCAACTGGTTAGAGCATCATCCTGATACGCCAAGGTTTCGGGTTTGATCCTCAGGGCACATACAAGAATCAACCAATGGCCCAGCCAGTGTGGCTCAATGAATTGAGCATCATCCTATGGACTGAGAGGTCCCGGTTCGATTCCCAGTCAGAGCACATGCCCAGGTTTTGGGTTCGATCCCCAGTGGGGGATGACAGGAGGCAGCTGATCAATGTATCTCTCTCACATCGATGTTTCTCTTTCTCCCTTCCTCTCTAAAAAGTCAATGAAGATATATATTTAAAAAAGAGAGAGAGAGTCCTGGCCATTTATGCTCAGTGGTTAGGGTGTTGGCCCATAGACCAAAGAGTCTTGGGTTCGATTCCAGTCAAGGATACGTACCTTGGTTGCGGTTGGTCCCCAACCCTGGTCGGGGTTGTGTGGAAGCAACTGATCGATGTTTCTGTCTCTACCTCTCTCTCTTCCTCCCACTCAATCTGAAGATAGATGGAAAAATACCCTCGGGTGAGGATTAAAAACAAAAAGTTATAGAAAGTATATTGATGAAATAGAATTTTCCTTTTTCAATTCTTCGCACTCTCAGAGAAAGTCTCAATTTGGAGCTAGTGTGTTCATAACACTGGAAATCTCCCTTTCTGAAAGTAGATATTAGTGGATTTGTATTTTCATTGCTTTTGTTTTTAGTTATTTCTTTATATTTCTTTGGCACACGCTGCCACGTGTTGCTGGAAGCAGCACAGAGCTATCGGAGCACTCCTCAAGCCACAGGGCACTCAGGACATGTTTATTCTTTCAGACACTGAACCTGTAGTGACCACCTGGGGACCCACCATGGTTTACTCAACTGTGGCCATTCCTGAGCTCACCACCACCAGCATAGTGACTAAGCCCCACGAAGGTAAAGGCTGGGACCACCCTGGCTCCCGCTCATCCCAGTGAGCATCTGAATGGGCTCCTCCAGAGGCCAGAGCTCCTTGATGAACAGCTGGAGAGTGGAGTTAGTTTTGGCTCCTTTGCTGACTCTCTCTGACATGACCTATGTATCTCTGAAGCCTCAGTTTCCCTATAAAATGAGGGTAGGAACAGTGCCCACCCACTCCTGGAGACAGTGGCGATCGCATGGGCTAACTCGTGTGGAGAGCCTGAGCTATGGTGGCTGCTGTTCCCGGAGTCGGCCAGGCTCAGGGGCCCAGGAGCGTGAAGTGTTATCCAGGCCCATTCACTGCCCTGTTTGTAGGTGTGTCCAGCAGGGCAGGACTAGGGTGAGGCAGGTGAGGTACTCCTCAGGGCAGCATCTGAGGGGGCACCAAGAAACTCAGAACTCAAATAATATTAAAATCTGGTATTTTTAAAAAATCAAATCACTGCCCTGGCCAGTTTGGCTCAGCGGTTAGAGCGTCAGCCTGTGGACCAAAGAGTCGCGGGTTCAGTTTTTGCTAAGGGCACGCACCTCAGTTGCAGTTTGTCCCCGGCCCTGGTTGGGGTCATGTGGGTGGCAACCACTCGATCTTTCTCTTTCCTCCCCTCTCTCCCTCCCGCTCTGAAGATAAATGCAAAAAAAAATAAAATAAAATAACACATTAAAATACTACTGAATTACTGAGTTTTGGAGGTACCCTTTAAGTTTTGTTCTTGAGGCCAGTGACTCATTCTCCTCACCTTAGCCTGATCTTAAGGTCGTGTGACCTCCTTGTAGTAGGTCAAAACTGGACCCACCATTCATGTCTTTGTCCACCAGAGGGCGCCCGACCTAGTTTTTGAGCAGCCGGAAATGCAGCTTAAGGACTTTTCTGGCCAGAAAAAAAAAAGTCACATCAGCATGTTTCAGACATTTTTCCCCCCCCTCAGAGTAGCTGAAGCTTTTGTTCAACCATAAACCAGATAAAACAGGAACTGCTGTGCTTATGGGGGGCACTGCTGAAAAAACCATTTCACCGACAGGCCTGGAATTTTGTAAAGGAGCCCTTTTAAGGGAAAAATTCCTCAAAAACCCTGCTGCTGCCCTAGATTATTGTTTACAAGGTTTCTTAAATGTGCAAAAATGTAATATTGGGTACAAATTTTGTATACACATGTCCAACAGCCGGTAGAATGAAATCCCAGGTGGATTTGAATATGACTCATGATGGTAATCACAGCTCACCGGCATACGTGTGGCCCAGATGTGTCCTATTCAGTCTTCCCAGCCCATTTTTCTCTTTAGAATTTTTTTTTGCATGGAGCTTCTTTATTGACTGGCCCAGGTATCTTTGTGTGACGAGTGGTTATGTGAGGTGTCTTCCCCCACCCCAGTATTTTTTTATTAGCTGGGGACAGTTGATACAGGACTGTGGGGTTTGGTGCAATCCAGCCCAGGCTCTGGAATTGATTAACCTCATGCAGAAAAGGCTCGTTGCCTTCAAATGCACAACCAGGTTGAAAATTTTCACCAGTGACCCTTGGGAATGTAACTGCACGCTTTGACCTCGGAGACCGACAGTCCCTTCCCCAATGCCTCTCGATGCTGAGCTAAAGACCCCTTTTAATACCACACTGAGTCCCATAATTCCAATTGCTAACAAAGAGGGCCCTGGCACAAGCCAGCAAGGTGCCCCTCAAACCTGAGAAGTGCTCCAAGTTCCTTTGAACGTTTAAGGACAATGACAAGTGTCAGGTGTTTTCCTTTAGATGTCAGTCATCATACACCTGCTGTGTTTCCATGGCCCTGATTAAGGATCTGAGCCCCATTGTCTCTCTTCTCCCATGCAGACCTGAACAACATTACTAACAAAGAGGTCAAGAGGCCCAGGAGCTTGGGCGCGCTGTACATTGTCCTCTTCATCGGTAAGCCCGCTGGCCAGCCCTCCCTCAGTTCCCTACCTCCAGGCTCAGCCTCCTTTTCTCTCAGGAATGGGATGTCCCCGCCATGTGTCCTGTTCATCACTGCACTCCCCTTTCTAGCTTCATTCCTTTAACAAATCTAGTTGCGTACCCACTGTGTACCAAGCCTACTTCTGGGCATTGGGGACACAGCTGTGAAAAAAAATCAACTCTCGTCCCCTGGGAGCTGACAGTAAGCAAGTGAGACAGCTGATGTGTCAGATGGGGAGAGGAGGCTGGGATCCCTGGTGTGCAGTGACGGGTGCTGCAGGGAGGGCCCGGGGAGGCGAGGTGAATGGTTCTCTTGCAGCGGCAGATTTGGAGGGCTCCACGTTCCCTTCCTCAGCTGTCAGTCATAGCTTGGTTAGCATCCCACCCATTGTCCTTTTCTGAGGAAATCCTCTTGAGGTGTCCCTTCAACATCCAGTCTGCCTGCAGATGCTTTTATTTTGGTGCCTAACAGTGGTCTGACTGTGGGTTGACAGATGTGGCAAATGGGACCCTCACCTTCCTGATGGCCTCCAAGTGTGTACCTGCCCTGCGTCTTCCTAGCAGAGACTACGTCTTTCCCACCCTTTGGGCACTGGCCAGACTGTTTTACAAACCCGGGCTGGGTGTCTGTGCCCTGGGTCATCTAAAGAAGTAGTAGCCGTGTGGATAATCCCAGAAGCCTGGAAGAATCCACATGGCCAAGATGTGCGGGGTGAGGCAGTCACAGTGGTCTTCAAGTGAGAGACTGGTTGTGCTTAAAGATAGAATTTTTACAATGGACAAGTATTTATATAAATCAGAACAAAATGATTAACAAATAAAAAGGTTGGGGGTTTGAAGGCAGTGTCACAGGACACCAGGTGGGCACAGGGCAGGGAGTGACGCTGGCCCCTGTCCCACCCACAGTGCTGCTCACAATTCTGTGCTTTGGGACCTTCCTCCTCTGGAGGAACTGGCGACTGAAGAGCATCAACAGCATCAACTTCGACAACCCTGTATACCAGAAGACCACGGAGGACGAGGTCCACATCTGCCACGGCCAGGGTGGCTACACCTACCCCTCGGTGAGTGCCCCACCCTCTGGGAGCCATGGCTTCCCTGTAAGGGCGTGAGATCCTCCAAGGCCATCCTCATAGTTGGGACCAAAGAGGGTGAATAAGGAGAGACTGTAAGTCATGGTGACGGAACAGAAGATAGCCGCAGAGGACTGAGGGAGAGGGAAGGCAATTTTAGCAAAGGTGGTTTGGGCAGGCTTCCTTAAGCAGGAAGTGTGTGGTGTGCAGGAGGCACAGCCTGTGCAAAGGCTCAGAGGCTGGACTGTGCCTGGTGTATTTGAGCCCTGTGGCCACCGTGGCCCGTGTGAGAGGGGGAAACAGGGAGGAGACAAGGGCAGTGAGGGGGCCTGGCAAATGAAGCAGGACCTTGTGGGCCATGGGGAGGACTTGGGCTTTGCTCAGAGTGAGGGGGGAGCTAAGGAAGGCTCTGGGGAGAGGAGGGAAGTGGCCTGACTCACAGGCACCGGCTGGTGGCTGCTGTGGGAGAACAGAATAGGGAAGAGCAAGGGCAAAATTTGACTCGGGTGCTCACTGGTGCCCTCTGGCTGCTGTGGGGGAAACCGACTAGGGTAGAGGTCAGGAGCCAGGAGACCAGGGCGGAAGTGATTGTGCTGGTCTAGGCCGGTGATGAGAAGCAGGTGGCCTTTGGCCATGTTTACTTCATGTTGAACTGATTACTTCCGGCGTTTATCGTTTCATTGACAGAGACAGATGGTCAGGATGGAGGATGACATGGCATAACTCACTGCCTTGAGTCCTGTCCCACCCCGGAACCTGCTGCTGGTCAAGGGCAGGAAGAACACTTTCTCCCCAAACCCTTGACCTTCCCCAAACCCTTGACCTGCCTCAAACCCTTCTTCAGACCTCTGACACCCTCCTGTTCAGAGAAATAAGTGGCCAGAAGCACTGCTGGTGGCTGCACCTCGATGCTGGCAGCACGGGCCTGTCTCCGGAGCTGTGTTTGATATATTTATTCATCTGGGAGGCAGGCGATAGAGCCCACGGAATGGGTTTTGGTTGAAATTTTTTTCTTGACCTCTCCCTGATTTACTCCTCACCTGAGGAATTAATGGACGGAGGGACACCAAGCAAGAGAAAGCAAGTGGCTTTGAACACCAGAAAACAAGTGCTACCCACAGGGTCCCAGGCAACTGCTGAGCCCCTAACCTCAGGAGTAAATGTGTTTACCTCTGCCTTACAAGCCTTGGTGGATGCCAGAGTAAGCTTTTGCTCTGCCACCCCCAGATCAGGATGAAATTAGTGTTTTCTAAGCCAGGAAAGGGACTCTAGGGTGTTGACATGGCTGAATCCAGCACACTGGGGGTGGCCAACGGAGCCCTTTATTCACCAAAACCTCAACAGTTCCCCAGGGAAAGCCTGAGCCACCCATTGCCCTTAATATTTATTGAGTGCTTGAGATACCCAGGTACCTTATGTGTGAAGATAAGTGGCCTCTGACCTCTAGCTGTGTCCTGCAGTCCCTGTCTGGACCCCAGCCTGTGCCCAAACCCCAGCCCCTTCCAGGTGCCCCTGCACTTTTCCAGTTCAGGCTCGAATGTTCTGTAAAGACTACATTTGTTATTATTTTGCACTGTTTTCTAGTCTGGCTGGGATGGGCTCCCAGGTTGGAGAGAACCTGGGAGTGGGGAGGGGAAGAGGTGCTATCTTGGGGCCTTTCTCCCAGAGCTTCAAAGCCAAGATCGTGACTATCTGGCTAGTGTTTCCACTTCTATGCACATGCCCCTGAGCCACTAATCTCCCCGACAGGACAGTTGCTAGATGGGTGTCCATCTGAAACATGCATGGTGTTTCAGCCCTAAAACGTCCCCTGGGTGCGGTCATTGTCTGGGGCTTATGAAACAAGAATGCTTTCTGAAATTGTCACATTTACAACCGAAGAGACAGTGGGAGGAGCCCCCATGGCTTCCTTGTCAATTGTGCACTACACAACCACCAAACACTGTGCCCACCCTGTAGGAAACTGTAAAAGATGTTCCTTTCTGAAGCCTGTAAATAGAGCCCTGTACTTATGAGTGGGGCATTTTTCATTTGCACTTTGTATATTTGTTGAAACATTTATCACTCATATGTGAAAAATAGATCTATTTATTTTTACAAACCCTGGTACCGCATTTGTTCGGTGACCCCTGAGGGGGTCTGCATTGGGTGTGGCTGTCTGAGGTGCCTGTCTTTCTGTACAGATGATTCGAGCAACCCGTGCCTAGTGTTCTTCAGGAGAACCATGTCCATGTCTATATGGGACACTTTAGGGGGGGATGGGTTTTGATTTTAAACCATTGTATAGGATTTTGTATAGTCTGAATGTCTTACTTTGACTGATTAAATTTCTTAAATGAACCATTTGGTTAAACCTGACTCACTTTTGTCTTCTGTTCCTTACTTCATCTGTCAGTGGGTGGGCCTCAGCAGGGAGCGGGATCTGGAAAGGGAGCATTTCCCCACAGCTCAGGACAGGCTGCAGGCTCTGGGGGGTGATGTGCTCAGCTAGGGAGCAACTCTGCTGGGTACTTCCCTGAGTTTGGGTTTTGCTAAATCTGCTGCTTGTTCATTCATTCAACAAACATTCATTGGCCATCTGCTGTGTTGGCAGGTCCTGTTCTAGGCATATAGGACACTGCAGTGAATAAAAGACAATGAGCCCTGGCCAGTTTGGCTCAGCGGTTAGAGCGTCGGCCTGCGGTCCGGAGAGACCCGGGTTCGGTTCCCGCTAAGGGCACATACTTCGGTTGCAGTTTGTCCCCGGCCCTGGTTGGTCGTGCGGGTGGCGGCCACTTGATGTGTCCCTTCACGTCGATGTTTCTCTCTCTCTCCCTTCCTCTCTCTCCCTCCCACTCCATCTGTACAAAAAATGGAAAAATGTCCTCGGGTGAGGATTAAAAACAAAAAACAAAAAATAAAATAAAATAAAGAAAATAATAAAAGACAATGAAAGTGACCAAGAGCCTGGGCCCTCAAGGACATGACATTTTAGAAAGGGAAACAAAATTACCATTTTAAACAGGATAATGGGACAGACATACACCTGGCAGAGAATGATTCTCTAAGGTGACATTTGAGCTGAGTCCAAAACAATACCAACTGGCCATGTCAGGATCTGTGGGGAGAGTGTCATGCTCCATCGAACACGGTATTTCTGAAGGGCATATTCCTTCAAACCTTTGGGCCCTTGGAGTGGTTGGTGTGAGGTCCTCTTAAAGGATAAAAATGTGACTACATTCATCATTCTGAGATATAAAAATCAAGATTTCACAACACAAATCCAAATACATTTGGTGAATCTAACTTCAGATTCCATGTGGGAAAATTTGGCTATAGCCTTGGGTGTCTGCTGTGCATGCCATGGTCCGTCTCAGTACCCTGGGCCTGTGGGCATTTCAGACCCCTGTCCTTGAGCATGGCAGTCAAACCACAAATAGTCCTGGAGTATCAATTGGGTACAGTCAGAGCCCACTGCAGGTCTTTGGACAGAAAGAACTTAATACAGAGACCTAAGTATAAAAGACAAATGGGGCAGACCATGAGATGCATCTCACACCCAGTAGAATGACTGTAATAAAAAAATAAAATAAAATAAAAAGCATTGGCGAGGATGTGGAGAAACCGGAGCCCTTGTGCACTGAAGGTGAGAGTGTAAAATGGTGCAGGTGCTGTGGGAAATAGAATGGTGGTTCCCGGGAAAACTGAAAATAGAATCACCACTGATCCAGCAATTCTAGGTTTATACACCCCAAAAGAATTGAAAGTAGGGACTTAAACAGTTACTTATACACCAGTGTTTATAGCAGCATTATTCACAATAGCCAAGAAGTAGAAACAACCCAAGTGTCCATCAATAGATTAATGGATAAAGAAAATATGGTATATTCATACAATGGAATAATATTCAGCCTTAAAAAGAACATTCAGAAACATGTTACATGATTCTTGCTCAGTGAAATGTCAGTCACAAAAGAACAAATACTGTCTAATCACAGTTATAGAAGGTCCTTGAGGAGTCTGAGTCAGAGACAGGAGGTAGACTGGTGGGTGCTGGGGGAGGTGGATGGGAGTTAGCGGTTAGCAGGGGAGAGGTTATGTTTGGGAAGATGAGACAGTTCTGGAGATGGGTGTTGGGGATGGCTGCACAACTAGGTGAGTCTACTTAATGCCCCTGAGCTGTACATTTGAAAATGGTTAAGAGGCCCTGGCCAGTGTGGCTCAGTTGGTTGAGCGTCATCCCATGCGACCGGACACCCCATACAATGGGGAATCCCATGCGACCGGGAACGTGAAGGAGACAACCCATTGATGTTTCTTTCTCTCTCCCTATCTCCCTTCCTCTTTCTCTAAAAGCAACAAAAACATATTTTTAAAAAATGGTTAAAACAATAAATTTTATTTATATTGGACCACAGTTAAAAATAATTAGTGATGCCCTGGGCAGTGTGACTCAGTTGGTTGGGTGTCGTCCTGTGCACCATGGTCAGAGCACATGCCCAGGCTCTATCCCTGGGAGGGGGTGTGCAGGAGGCAGCTCTCACATTGATGTTTCTCTCTCTTCTCCTCCCTTCCTAAAAATCAATTAAGATATTAAAAATTAATATTAAAATATTAAAAAATTAATTAGTGATAATAGTTTTGGTATTTGTTTTTTTTTAAGACCAAACAGGGGCCCAGCCGGTGTGGCTCAGTGGTTAAGTGTCGACCTATGCACCAAGAGGTCGCTGGTTCGAGTCCTGGTCGGGACACATGCCCAGGATATTTCTACCTCTCCTTTTCCCTTCTTCTCTCTAAAAATCAGCAAAACACACACACACACACAAAACAAAATAGGGTACAAGGAGGCAACTAGAAATAAATTGCAGCAAAGGGAAGGCTTGACAGGAATGCCCTGGAGCAGAGGACGAGTGTTGGGCAGTGGGGCGGGAAAGAGCACAGAATGGGTCAGGCGCCTGGGTTGAGATGGATGACCTTGGGCCCAACAGAACGTTCCTCCAACTAAAAACAGGGTCAAGGCTAATCCCACCTCCCCATTCTGTGCGTTGAGGGTGGAGGATCTGTGGTTAGAGGTGAAGGCCAGGGAGCTGCAGGGACTGTTATCATTTCTGTCCACAGGGTGGCACTTCCTTCCTTCCGCCTTTTGTCTTGGGAAGGTTCCAAAATGCCTCTGGGAGTGAAAGCTGAACAGGACAAACAGGAAGCATCAGGGGCTTGCACAGGGGCGGTCAATAATTGGTTGATTGACTGATTCCATGCTCAGCCTTGTGGCAAATGGGACAAATGAACCTGAATAGCCTGCACAGGGGAGGGGCTGAAGGATGGCTGAAGGGAGCTGTGAGGGAGTGGGGGCAAGACTGAGAACATGGAAGAGGCCAGAGGTAGTGGAAGTTTCTGGTTTCTGGCCTTAGCGGTTTTGTTAAAGAAGTAATCACTATTATCCTTCATCAGAGTGGAGTTAGAGGTTTGTGACAAATAAGAATAAACATATCTCCAGGATTAACCCATCTGCTCCCCACGATGGCTGCCAGAGGGGGCGGTGACCAGTGCCCACTTTACAGATGGGAAAGGGGAACTCAGCGTCCCTGGACCGACTCCCCTTGCCTTTTTCCACCACCAGCCAAGGACCGTAACCATGGGGATCGTGATCTCCTTTCTGGCTCGTTCTCTGGGCTCAGAATGGGGATCCCTCAGTGAAAGTTATGAATGCCATCCAGGTAAGATTCGGTCCTTGGATGTGTGGC